AAAGTAGGATATTGGATGAAAGTCATAAATCCCGATACTCTATCCATCCAGGTACCAATAASATGTATCGAGATTTAAAATCTTTTTATTGGTGGCCAGGATTGAAAAGAGATATAGCACGGTATGTGGAACGGTCTCTAACATGTTTACAGGTTAAGATTGAACATCAGAGACCTTATGGAAGCCTTCAATCTTTGGAGATACCTGTATGGAAATGGGATCACATTACCATGGATTTTGTTATGAAATTACCTCGAACTCCAAAGGGGTATGATGCGATTTGGGTAATTGTTGATCGTCTGTCTAAATCTGCACATTTTCTACCATTAAGAGAGAACTATTCTTTAGAAAAGTTAGCGCAGATTTACATCAAAGAAATAGCCAGACACGGTGTTCCTTTGTCTATAATCTCTGATAGAGATAGTCGATTTACTTCAAAGTTCTGGGAAGGATTGCAGAAAGCTCTGGGGTCTGAAATTCGACTAAGTACAGCTTATCAGCCACAAACTGATGGACAGAGTGAAAGGATTATTCAAACTCTTGAAGATATGTTGAGAAGTTGTATTATCGATTTCGGAGGATCATGGGAAGATCACCTACCATTGATAGAATTTGCATATAACAATAGTTATCATTCCAGTATACAAGCGGCACCATATGAAGTATTGTACGGACGTAAATGTTGAACGCCATTATGCTGGAATGAAGTGGGTGAAAAACAGCTAACGGGTCCTGAAATTGTTCAAGAAACTTCTGAAAAGATTGAACAAATCCGCGAAAAAATAAAAACAGCACAGGATCGCCAGAAAAGTTATGCAGATAATCGTCGAAAATCCATTGAATTTGATATAGGCGATTTTGTAATGTTAAAAGTTTCTCCATGGAAGGGTGTTATTAGATTCGGAAAGATAGGAAAGCTCAGTCCGAGATATGTTGGGCTATTCAGAATCTATAAGCGAATTGGGCCAGTGGCATATCAGTTAAAGCTACCAGAAGAACTGAATCGGATTCATAACACTTTTCATGTGTCGAACCTGCGGAAATGTTTGGCTAACCCGAATCTAGCTGTACCTTTGCCAAAAATTCAATTAGACAGTAAACTGAATTTTGTGGAAACACCAGAAGCCGTAATTGACAGAAAGATAAGGGTGTTGAGAAACAAAGAGATAAGTCTGGTTAAAGTACAGTGGAAGTTTCACAAAGGACTGGAGGCAACATGGGAATTGAAGTCAAAGATGAGATCAGAATACCCGTGGCTTTATGATTAAAGGAATTCTGGGACGAAATTCTCTTGAGGGGTGGATAATGTAATAACCGGATCCTAGTTATTACCCAAGGTATTTAATAAGTGATTATTTTATTAAATGATTGTGTGATAGCATGATAAACTGATATGTTTGGTACATGCTGGTATGCGAATTTGTGCATTTATTTGGATAAAGGTATATATTTATATATATATATATATGTATGCATAAAATATAGAAGTATATATATATATTTATGCATGCAAGTTATGCATGGAGTATGTATGCATGTGTGTATGCATGGGTGCATATGGGTAGCATGAGGTGGAAAGGGGGGTATGGAAGGCGTTTTAAGCCGACCTTCCATATTTGGAAGGTATAAAAAGGGCTTCACCTCTTCATTCCTTTTTCCTGCTATTTTGAGAAGTTGAGAGAAATTTAAAGAGTGTTGTACGGATTTGCTAAAAAAGGTGATTTCAAGCTGATTTGCAAGTGTCAAGTTTCAAAGGATTGATTACAAGCAATTTGGTTTCAAAAGCTTTTTGAGGTGAGTGGTTTCTAAACCTTTTTGTATAAAGATTCTACTGGTTTTATTTGAATGTTTYGTATTGATATYCTTTGGAAAGAAACCTTGATTATATTGTTTAAGTGTTTATCCGGACAAGGAGTGACCGGATAAGTATTTAAACCGGACAAGCCTTGTGCGGCTTATTGACCGGATTAGTGTAAACCRGATAAGCCTTGAGCGGCTTATTGTCCGGATTGTTTTAAACCGGACAAGCCATGAGCRGTTTGTTGTCCGGAGTTGGTAAACCGGTTGAGTGTTGAGCGGTTTATAATTGGTAGTATTACTTAAAATTTTATACTGAGAAGTAGGAATACGACCACATGGGGAGCA